TTAACGTAAAGGAAGATACGTTAACTATAAATTACGTTATACTGAAAAATCATGAAATATACGTATAATGAGCATTTAACAATCACAGCTTGGGTTTGGATTAAAGAATATTATCATGCGCTCCTCATGAAGAAATAAATCCTTGCTTGGGCTTTCGAATCATGAGAAGAACAGTATTCCAAATTAAAAAAACAATGAAGAAATGAATATGTGCTTTAAAACATAGTGAAAAGCATTCCCCAAAGAATTTTATATTCATCCATGCGAATATCATATGAACTCAATGTTAAGGCTTTCTCTCAAGTGAAATCAAGCAACATAAGATAATCCCATTTACTTGAGAGACTTGATTAATTTTTTACAAGCAGAGAAAGCGGATAACTGAAACGACATTCAGTGTAAAACTTGCTGATAGTGAATATCCTAGGAAAAAAATTAGACTTTTGTATCATTGTCTCAATAAGTCTTATATTTTAGGCATGATTGTCAAGTAACAAAGAATGCAACACCTCCAGTACACAACCAGTTACAAGTTGTGCGCAGTGGCATCATCCTGGATCGCAAGAGTAAAGTCTTGTTTCTCAAAGCTATTGCGCTTGCTGTCGAGCTGATGTCTGCAGCCATCTTTTACTTCATAGCCTCCTGCTGCTTTGTTGTGAAATATTTTGGATAAAACGTTCACGGCAAATCTGTTGCGGACAGGAGAGACTACTCATAAATTTGTGCTTCTGCTAAAAACATAAGCCATCGCAGTTGTCATGTTGTTGGTGATCTCAAAGTGAACCACGAGGCATGAATTGTCATACTTTTGCAGAGCTTGATAGCATGCAACTTGCATGCATGCAATCCAACCAGATGAATCTTTTAGATTTGACAGCGATGAGATATGTTTAGGAAGATTCTCCAATTCTCCATTTCTCTTATGGACTTGTAACTCATGTGTTAATCGATGTCGTTCTGGAGTGGGAACCCGATTCCAACTTTCCATCATTTTTTGCATCTCGTCGTTTGAGTGGAAGAGCTGGAAGAGCTTTGAGCTGTTCGTCGTTAGCAAACCAAGCCGGAATGATCATGGAAGCATGAGGGAGGAGAACTCCATAAGTTTCCAATATTGTCTTTCTGCACACACCACAAAATATAGAGATCTCTTCGATAGAACTCTTCCCTGATTCATGGAGCTGGGAAACCATGAATATTGCAGTTGCAGCCACAGACATGGGGTTTCTCCTCACGTCGAGCCGGTTGTCAGCCATCTGGACGATTTCAGTGGCTGCTAATCTCGCTGTATAACTCACCCCTAGCTTTATGCAGAAACGACTCACGAAATCTGCTGCATTGACGGACTTGCCCATTCCTAGATCTTCCTTCATGTGTTTCTCGATGCAGAGTAAAGCTCGTCCCAGTTCCTTCAGCGAAGTACCTTCTGCAACCGAACAAATCTCTTTCATCGACCGGGTTTTGCCCTCCTGACGACACGCCAGGTACAAACAAGACGCCAGTACCGCATCTTGATTTTTCCCTTTGGTGAAATTCAGGTTTGTCACCTTCTGATAGATATCGGAAGCAATGGTCTGAATGCTCCGGACCAGACCCAGTCGTGAGGCCATAGAGGCACATCTGATTAAGCTAGAGAGGAGCCGACTGCTGTCTCCATTGGGCAGTCGAGATTCTGCACGCTTGAGGCATGACGAAATGGAATTACCCTCCACTTGGCTGAAGGTTGTGGAGATGCCACCGTCTGGAAGCAGGGCATTGTACGAATCACCAACTCGGTTTCGATCCTTCGCTCCACTCTGGTCCGAAAACGTACGCCATTCCGGCGCGTCTTCCACGAAATGAGACTCCAGAACCAGCCCACACTCGACGCAGATGACGTCACCGGAAGCGTAGTCCAACACATTATCTCTCGTTTTGCAATCCCGGCAGACGATTACGTTCATGGTTACTCTAGCAAAGTCTGAGATTTCTACACCTTCAACAAATTTATCCCGAAGATACTCTGACTCATTCTCCACTCCAATTCCATCCCTCGAGCTAAAATACCCTCTCCTTCTCCCCTAAGGTATTATTCTTCAGTCAATCCTGAATTGTGAAAGGCGTCACCTCTAATGTCTTAAGAAGACATGTCACTCATACTTTCAGATCTTTCATCGGTCCACTACTGATTGGTTATCAACGTTATGCCTATATCCCTTCACGAAACAATTATAATTTCCTGTCAAGTCCACACCTCTTTAGCACACTCGCAAATTCAGAGTCACATCTAAAGAGAAAGTCATGTTTCTATCATGCAGAAAGCATCTATAACTTGCAATGAAGATTATAGCTCAGAAATTGGATGAAGACAGATGCTCGGTACTTCTTCTCATGAACAACCATGACATTTTTTTGCATTTGTATCAGTGGTTACCTGCTTCCCGGGTACAACCCTGGTATGTGATGCGAGCTTGTCAACAACTCTGCCAGCATTAGTTAGAAGTGGTCTTCAAAATTTATAGAAGGCATGCCGAACTTCCGTCATCGTCAATAGTTTACTAGTCATGATTTTGTTCTCGGTTTCTACATTCGTAGAATGTCAAGCAACAAGTCCAGAACAGATCAGAGATTCTTAGCTCCATCACTAAGTGTGTCTGAAGGGCACTGTTAACTTCCGATTTGGATATGTCAGCTTATGTCGCTGAATATATCACGTAATAAGAACCTTTCCTTAAGACTAAGAATAAAAGGAGTTGTTTGTAGTCGTCGTTTGAACATGCTTTCAGGGATTCTGCTCTCGGAATGATTAAAAAGATCAACTTATATCATTTGATTAGCTTGCTGCACTGATATTATGTATGTGCATATTATAACAATTGAGTATTAATGAGGGCGCCCATAAACAACTTTTGTCCGTTTGTTACTTCATTTCTTAAGTCTCTTGTAAGTTAAGAAACTAAAGCCTATAATACTTCATAACATTACAGCATTATTGGTGGCCAAATATGATATGGTCTTGATATAAAATTACAATCATTTATTCTTAAATATTTTTAATTTGAATCGAATATTTTATACGGTATAAATGTTATACAAAAATCAAATGCATTCGAGAAAGAATAATTTTTCTAACTACACTACGGTTTGAACATATTCATTATCAAATTCTTATGGCATACAAATCTTCCTAACATAATTTTATCTATTTCAGTAGTGTGTATTGATACTTTTTCCAAACACAATAATAATTGTGTACAATTTGCAGATGGTATAGCGCTAAGAAAATTTTTAGGAGAGGATCAGTTGGATAGCAAGTATCTAAGGGAGCATAACACCCGCGTCCATTATCTTCTAGTCAAATTATAAAGGCGAGGAGTTCATGGCATGAATGACTTCATCAAATTATCATCAGGATTTGCACAGAGTACATTTTGTTGTGCACATTCATTATACAATCTTCGGTTTTGCTACTTTTGGCACAATTGAATAACTGACTATTACCATGCAAATAGAAATGATCCTTGTCAAAGGCCTGATCTAAATGATATGGTGGTAAAGTCTGCAGTATTTTCTTTCTTTTGGTGAAGATAATCTAAATTTGAGAGATTCCCAAATTCATTGGCGAATCAATACAGTCGCAAAACACATGAATAGATCAATCTTGCCATCACGTTTATCACACAAAGTAGTAACGCGAAGATGGTGATGTCATTGTGGACAACTAAGTAAACTAAAATTTCAGTGAAAATTTAACCCTGAGTTATGATTAATCCAGAAAAGTACTTCAAATGAACAAAACTTATTTTTATTTTTAATGAAGCCAGTCATTGCATATTTGAAAGTACATTATGTGAATATAAAAATTATGATTCTCAATATTTGAAGGTAAATAACCTGAACCCAAAATTTTATAATATTAAAACGAACAAGAAGTTTTTGTATAAAAGATATCGATTCAATAATTCGGAAGAATCTAGACATTTTTCCTCGACATGGACCATGGTCAATCGTTTAATCACTGGCAAAATCACTTCCTTTGGTTTATGATTATTGATTATCAATTTTCTTCTCAGTTTCATTGAACAAAAGATCCATGATTTAACAAAATGTGTAGTAATTGATTTATTTGTTAGAGTTCATTTAATTAGATTTTTGTTATTCAAAAAGCTCTCTACCAGCGCTCCTATAGAATTCGAGTGAGGTGTGAGAGAGCAATGAGTGAAATATACAAAGCTGGTCATCAGCCTGGCGAGATCACTTTTAATGGTGCCACGTTGATCTAATTGTGAGACTCTCTGGTCCTATGATGTATGACCAGAAAATGTACGACGGACACGAATTTTATTTCTCGCGAGATTCAGTCTACTGGGCATAATGAACATTAGGCCAGGCTGAGGCCTTGATGATGAAAACCCGTGGCCATCTTTGTACTTCAAGTTCTAAATGCGAGTGTATTCCAACCCAGATCAGAGGACTTCCAACTCAAAAGCGCCTGTCTTTTATTACAGTGCCTCGGTGGCGGAGCAATGACGGTGATATCTGGAAATTGTTCCCGTGGTAATGTCTTGGAAGAATGTCACATAGACAAATACAGCTCTTTGAATTACAAGTCTCACGGCTTAAGTAACCTACTGATCGCTATACAGTTTGCGGTTCTGTTTCTATATTCGTCCAGCATCGTCTTTATAATTTTTATTCACAGTAATGATCATCTCTATGGAGTCTGAAAGAAGCGCATCACAAGTATTAGTGGGGTGAATAATGATATGAAATCAGATCCACAGATGCCAGCATTTTCACAATTCTTCGTTGAAAGCATAATCTCTTTAGTGTTGGATGATTGCTATCCTATGAAGATAGCTATAGAACTATTGACGACTGGGTAAAAGAAATAAATTTTCTTACCGATTTTAAACTATCAAAGACATGACTTATAAGGATGGAAATGAGAAGACAGAGTCAAGAACTCGCAATCAGATATCCACAGATACTAACAAGAACTGAAAGAAGAACTCCGACAACAATCGTGAAGACGAGGTCAAGTACCACTGAAGGATTGTATATTTCATATTGTATTTCATCTCAGGATTGTACATTCATATGTATGCCACTATCAGAGGATTCACCTTAACGTTCATATGATATGAACCTTTAGGAGGACACCGATATAGTATCCTGCGAGAATCGGTGTACTGGGGATGTATCAATTTCATCTCAGGCACAGCCGTAGAAGACGGAAAACCTTCTGCAAATTGGGACTCCAAGTTTTTTATCCATGGCCATGCAGGTCATCAAACCTAGATCAGAGAATCTAAAACTCCAAAGTGGTTGTCGTTTATTACATTGGCTGGTAAGAAGAGCATTGACACTCCTGTCTTGATATTGCTTCCGTCATCATGACTTTGGAAGGATATCTTGTAGCGTACAGACATATTACGCCCTATGACTTCAAGTATCTCACAGTGTAGCTGACGAACAATGATCACTAAATGAAGGTGATAATCTTCAAGTTTCCGTCCTGTATCGTCCTTGTTATTTCGAAACAGTATTGATCGCGTCTATGGAGACTGAAAGAAGCCCATCACAAGTATTAGTACCCTTAGATACATCTGAAATCACATGCAGATGATGTAGGGCTCAAAATTGCATAAATAACTGATTGTACATTAGTTACAAAGCGAAGGTTACATAATGCATAATCTTTTCAATCTTGGAGGAGAAGGATTCTATCAGTTTTACTACCAAGGTTCAAACAGATATGCGGACATCCGGATTTAAGATATTTATATATTTATTTATATTTAAAATTTATCTATTTTTTTAGATATAAGAATCAAAATTTGTGACGATGATAATACAAAGAGTCAGTCCATAACTCAAAATCAGAGATTGAAGGATACTCACAAGAATGGAGAGAAGAGCCCCGACCAGAGTCGTGAAGATGAGGTCCAGTACCACTGACACTGGACCATTGAGCAGCCCGGTGATGGTCACGAGCAGACCGGTTGCGGCTGAGTTCGTGCGGATGACGATGTTTGTCACATTCGAAGGAGTGAGCACTCGTCCCACTTGCGATGTGACCCCCATCACCGTGCTCCGAACCAGCAAGTCTACCTGGCCGTTGACGGCCTGAAAGTTTCGGATGACGAACTGGCCAGAGTTGGCGGGGACTGTGGCCAGCCGGTTCAATGTGCCGTTCAGAATCTGGAAGATCAAAACTTCGACGGGGCTAGCATTGGTGACTGTGATAACTGGTGTGGTCGCGGGTGGTGGTGGGGGCTGCGCAGCCACTGGGCTCCATGCTGCGAGGACCACAGCAAATGCTGCCACCAGAAACAAGGCAGTCTTGGAAACCATGGCTGGAGCTGGGAATACAAGTGAGAACACCGATACTATGCTGGATAAGCTTCTGAACAGGAAGGTTGTGAGCGATTGTGAAAAATAAGGGGGATCCAATGGATTATATAGTGAGTGCAATTTAGGTTCGTGTGCAGCAACAATAATGCAGACGGTTGGAAGAGCTTTGGCTGTCGTGAATATGGTTTTCCTTCTTTCTCCAGAAAGTGAGTACCAGGCCACAGTGCACACTCTAGCTGTTCATTGATGCGCACTGATCTGCATTGATCAATCACGTAGACGACCAGCCAAATTTCTTTGTTCATTTGGCCAACGTGCACTTTATCACTTTAATTTCCATAATTGAGAATATACAGGACCATATCTATCATGTATACGAATACACAGCTCCATCTTCAATGTGATAGAGAGGACATATGATGACCTTGCCGGCAGGACATCAAGCCTCCTTCACTTTAAGGAACAGTAGTCGGAACTTTTCAGTGCACGACCAAAGTAGAATCAAAACATCATACACCTGAAATCCTCATCTGCCTAGAAAGTACACAGATGATACATGGCCCTTTACGTGGCAGATATTTTGGGCACGAACTACCGAACATGCAGATCAAGGGTTCAGATTGAATCAGTGGAAGAAACAACTCACCGTGTGCAAAACCTCGATTATTGTCCCTTCAGAAGAAGCACAATCGGCGTCACTATAAATTGTAATGGCTTCTGAACTTCTTTCCATCAACATTCGCTGCGTTGCAGATCTTAGGCTAGCAAAGTCTCAGTTGTCTGAGTTGCATCCGCACCTGCAGCCATGACGACCAAGACTGCGTTCCTTGTGGTGGCAGCATTTGCTGTGGTCCTCGCAGCATGGAGCCCAGTGGCTGCGCAGTCCCCACCACCAGCACCGCCGACGACGCCAGTTATCACAGTCAACAATCTTAGCACCGTCCAAGTTCTGATCTTCCAGATTTTGAACGGCAGATTGAACCTGCTGTCCACAGTCCCTGCCAACGCTGGACAGTTCGTTATCCGAAACTTTCAGGCCGTCGACGGCCAAGTAGACATGCTGATGCAGAGCACGGCTCTAGGGGTCACATCGCAAGTGGGACGAGTGCTCACTGTTTCGAATGTCACCAACATTGTCATCCGCACGAACTCAGCCGGAACTGGTCTTGTTGCCACCATCACAGGCTTGCTGAACGGTCCAGTTTCAGTAGTACTGAACCTCGTCTTCACCACTGTTGTCGGGGCTCTTCTTTCAATTCTCGTGAGTACCCTTCAAGCTTTAATTCAGGATTTTTGCCAACTGCTACAATTGCCATCATCACAAGCTATGACTCACACGTATTCATATGTGATTTACATTAGAACCCGGCTTAAGCAGATCAGTTTAGAGTTGTCATTATTGGATACAGAATTTACTGCCTATGTACCATGAACGAGATCATGCGCGTAGTTTCTCTCGCTCAATTTCGAATGAAATATATGTGGATTTGTAACTTGTTGCACATCAATACATATCTGGGACCTTATTTCATATGTATCTTCACTGTACTAATACTTGTGACGGTATTCTTGCAGTCTCCATAGAGGTGATCAATACCGGGACAGAATACAAGGGAGATGCTGGACGAGCACGTGAACGCTTACACAATCGGTTAAGTTTAGTGATAAGTGTTCGTCAGGAAAGCTTTGGGAGACTTGAACCTCCTTTTGTCAATGATATGTGATGTACTCCATGTCATGATAACGGGAATAATCACGAGATGTAACTATTAATGCTCTGCCACCGAGCAAATATGATAAATGACAACCGCGTCTGAGTGCAAAATCCTCTGATCTCTTTCGGATGGAAAACTTTTAACCCCAAGTGGTCAACGGTATTTCGTACTATTGGCCTGTACATATTTTAATAGTCAGTAAAATCCACTTTATTGAATATGAGTTGAAAATCTTCTGATATGGTTTGGATGGACAACTTGGATCCCCGAGTTGTCAAAGGTTTTCCGTACTCTCGGCATGAACATCATATTATCTTTAGACAAGTCCAATATACAGAATCTCACGAGTAAGTATATTCTTGTCAAAGATGTTATAAGATACTTAAGCTAGCACAGGAAAGGCACTGAATTTTAATCATGCGAGGGTAAAATGGGAAATGTAGAAGTTGATTCTTACTGGCACATTATCTCTCTTGTGCATAGTTCTCGATGGGCGTAGTTTAGTGTTGGCGATACAGCTCAAGTTTCTGATACACTCGATTCGACACCCAGCGACTAATAGCGAAATTTCCAGAACTTGGAAATCGAAATGTAACGTAGTGCACCACAGGTTGTAAACGGCTTTGGATTCACCTGGACGCTCTATGGATCCCCTTATCATTGATATCCCAAAAGGCTTGAAAGAATCTGTTCTTGTCTTTTGAATTCACACTCGGAATCAATCTTCAATCACTATTGTCTCGGTAGATGAGATAGCTGATAGAAGAAGATGAACAGTTGGGGGCTTCAGGCTTACCAACAGGCTAGATCCAGTGTATTTTTCGATGAAAATTTTTTAACCCCCAGTGGTCAACGGTATTTCGTACTCTTGGCCTGTACATAATAGTCAGTAAAATCCACTTTATTAAATATGAGTTGAAAATCCTCTGATATGGTTTGGATGGACAACTTGGATCTCCAAGTTGTCAAAGGTTTTACGTACTCTCAGCATGAACATCATATTATCTTTACACAAGATTGGCGCGCCCTAGGAAAGCAGCAGTACCGAAGTTGATTTCGCTAGAGGTGCCCAATGTAGAATTACGGAAGTATCGTCAAGAGTTAGTCACGACACTTCCCTGTTTTTTGCTTTGGGATTGGATTTGTGCGTCGGCAACATTCTGCCAAGGGTTGATGGACAAGAACCAAAATGAGGCCATCGACCTTCGTGGCAATCCGTTGTTGTGGACGGTCGAGCATTGGACACACGTCTTAACACCATGCGCGGGCAAGGAAGGGGAATATATTTTTGAGAAGTAGAGCGCTAGAGCGACGCGAGCCAAAGAATTTACATTCGCGCAGCTATTCAAGAATCCCCGATCGAGTACAAATGGTTGGAGAACAGTGGAGTATTGCGACCCGTACAGGCGCGCGGTGGCAACAGCTGTGATGCACATCTTGCGGCCGCAGCGGTCGACCCATGTAACGGCGTGGCAAGTGGGATTTATAGAGCGCGCAGTGCGAGGGGAGTCAATTCACTGGGCGAAGATCTTCTGGAACCTAGTTTGGATCAATGTTGGCGATAGGTGGCACGGAGACTCGGTGAATCACATGAAGCCTTTCTTGGTGAATTTCTATCGCGGGATGAGTTTGTTGACGAAGAGTGAAGAGAAGAGATTTTCCAGCGTCAGGGAGGTTTTGGACTGATCTTTGGAGAAGAAGAAGAAGGTTTGAAGAAGGCACCCCGCCGGGTGATAAAGTCAGAGAAGTTGGAGGGTAGTGTAGCCATGTCCGAAGGAACCGCATCTTCAACGATGTAGTGGAGGAAGTGTAACTTCGGACTATTGAAGCAAGACCTTTGGGGGTCCAGAGTGATGGACCTTTGGAGGAGGAAGAAAGACCTTTGGGGGAGAGGACGGCGATCGGTCGTCTCCTCCTTCAGCTGCCGAAATGCCAAATCCGCCGCTTCCGCTTTGGTCCACGACGTCTGTAACTACTCCACAACCGTCTTCAACTGATCCGCAACCGATCGCAATCTGCACCGATGCCAATTTGTCATCCGAAACTTTCAGGCCGTTGACGGCCAAGTAGACTTGCTGCTTCAGGGCACGGTGCTCGGGGTAGCATCGCAAGTGGGACGAGTGCTCAATCTTTTGAATGTTACCAATATTGTCATCCGCACGAACTCAGCCGCAACTGGTCTCGTAGCCACCATCACAGGCTTGCTGAACGGTCCAGTTTCAGTCGTACTGGACCTTGTTTTCACCAGTGTTGTAGACGCTCTTCTCTCAATTCTTGTGAGTATACTTCAATCTCTGATTTTGAGTTGTGTACTGACTCTTGGCATTACAATCATCATAAATTTTGACGCATATATCTACCTATATAGATATATGTATATCCATCTTATATCCGGATGTCCCCATATCTGTTTACAACTTGGTCATCAAACAAATAAAATATTACTCCAAGATTAAAAAAGATTATGCATTTTGTATCTTTCGCTTCGTAACTAATGTACAATCAGTTAGTCAAGCAATTTTGAGCCCTACCTTATCTGCATGTGATTTGAGATGTATCTTCAGTGTAGTAATACTTGTGACGGACTTCTTTCAGTCTCCATAGACGCGATCAATACTGTTTCAAAATTATAATCAAAATTATAATCAAAATGATCAAAATTACAATGACGATACTGGATGGACACTTGAAGATTATCACCTTCATTTAGTGATCATTCTTCGTCAGCAAAACTGTGAGATACTTGAAGTCTAAGGGCGTAATATGTCTGTACGCTACAAGATATCCTTCCAAGTCATGATGACGGAAGCAATATCAAGACACGGGTGTCAATGCTCTTCTTATGAGCCGATGTAATAAACGACAACCACTTTGGAGCTGAAGATTCTCTGATCTAGGTTTGATGACCTGCATGGCCATGGATATAAAACTTGGTGTCCCAATTTGTATAAGGTTTTCCGTCTTCTACGGCCGTGCATGAGATGAAGGTGATACATCCCCAGTACACCGATTCTCGCAAGATATCTGATCCGTGTCCTCCAAGGTTGATGTGTATGTATGTCACTACAAGAGGATTCACCTTAACGTTGACCTATTTATTGTCACAGGCTCTTGCTAAGGGGCATTTCAATGAAATCACTCGCATTCATTTCGCCTAGACGAAAGGAGCAGCTTCTATTTGCATAATTGATGAGAAGTATCATCTTAAAAAGTTGATGACTCTTGGCAATGTCACGGAGATGAGCCAACAAATAGCAAGTATGTCCATAGATCAGTAATGAAGGGATCAGAAAACCCATTGGGCATTTCCAAGTTAATTCACATATACAGGACAGACACTTTCAAATTCTTTCGTTTCTCATCTCCATCTCACTAACAACCCCTACCATCCTGTTCAGAAGCTAAGGCAGACTGTCAGTTTTGATCAAAATTACCCTCCTTCATGCTTGCAGCATGGAACTCAGTGGCTGTCTAACTCCCCAGCAGCGGGAAAGGGCCCTTAAAATGACCCAGTATATGTCCTGCTCAAGTTCTGATCTTCCAGGTTCTAAACGGCAGATGGAAACTGCTGTCCCCTGTCCCCGCCAAAAGTGGCCAGTTTGTGATCCGAAACTTGCAGTCAGTCATTATCCAGTAGACCTGCTCGTTTCGCGGAACTGTGGGCGATGAACTGAGTCTCTCCTAATCTACACGTTTGTGAGCTCATATGGCTCTAGCCTTCTTTCTATGCTGTGAGCTGTGACTTCTGAGTAAAGCTTCACCGATTCTGGAAAACACACAGAATCACTCTCGTCCAAATGTCTGAGAAGACCTACATATTAAACTTACACAACCGTGTGCGTAATTCATTGAATGCATTGTAGTATAGGTCACACCTTTCTGGATTTTAGACAAACTTTAAACAGAAAGGAGGGATTTATCTGGTACATTTATAGAGCATACGGTTGTCTTTAAAATCAAGCAGGAACTTGAAGATGAACTCAAGGCAGATTCTGAGATTTATTGCTTTTTCTCAGTAATATTCATAAAACGATCAAAGTGGATCAATTATATGTTAAAAATTCAACAATTTTTCAAACTATCTATAAATCAGAAGCAAAGAAACTTTGGCTCTGCTCATATTGAATTTGAATAATCTTCTACTGCGTAAATTATCATAAGTAGACTAGCCGAAACTTAAATACTTAAATATCGATAATGTAAGGATATAGATGCTGCTTAGAGACAACCTTCCGACCTACGGCCCAATCTACCACCCGAATTATGAGGTGAGAAATAGACTAGATCTTAGCCTGTTGGCCAGCTCAAAGCCCCCAACTGCTCATTTTCTTCGAAAAAATATCTCATCTGCCGAGACCAGAGAGAATGAAGATTGATTCCAATTCTTAAATGAACAGAGAAGAACATATCCTCTCAAAATCAAGCAGTTTGGGAAACCAATAATAAGTAGATCCACAAAGCGTTTAGGTGAATCCAACATCCTTTAAAACTTTGTGCTGCACTACGATACATTTCGAATGCCAAGTTTTAAAATTTTCATCATTTGTCCCTGGGTGTCGAAACGAGTGTATTAGAAACTTGAGCTGTATCGCCAAGACTAAACTACGCCCATCGACAATTATTTACAAGAGAGATTTAGTGCCCCTATCAATTTTTACATCTCCCATTTAATTCGTCGGATTATGAAAATCAGGTGCCTCGTCCATCTGATCGTGAAATCCTCTGCTCGGATAAGTATCTTATAACTTCCGAGACACGAGTATAATTCATCTAGAGATTCAGTATTCTGGACTTCTTTGAATATCATATCATATCATATCATGTTCAGGCTAAGAGTACAACTAACGGTTGACGACTTGGGGTCCAAGTTCTCCATCCAAAGCACCAGATCGGAGAGTTTTCCACTCAAATGTCGTTGTCATTTATTATATATGCTCGGTGGCAGAGCATTGACAAAGATATCTCGTGATTATTCCAGTGACCAAGACTTGAAGTATATCATATATCATTTGGACACTGAGGTTCAAGTCTTTCACAGCTTTCCTAACGAACACTGATATCTGGACTGATTGTGATAACGTTAACGTGCTCGTCCACCTTCTTCCTTGTCATTTCGTCCCTGAATTGATCATCTCTATGGAGACTGCAAGAAGGCCATCACATGCGTTAGTAGAGCTAAGATATATATGAAATCAAATCCCAGACAGGCAGGGTTCAATTTTTAGATTTCGTAACATTCATTATGGATGAAAGGAAATTTATGATATCCAACGCATGACTTCGTTCATGTTCGATGCGCCGCAATTCATGTATCCGATAATGACAGCCCAAATTCATTTGCTGAAGCTGCAATTGCTGGTTATCAAATGTACATCAGATATGAATATGTCTGTGTCTTAACATCTGATGATGACAATTGTAGCAGTCAGCAACACCTCGGGATGAGAGCTTGAAAGATACTCACAAGAATGGAGAGAAGAGCCCCGACAAGAGTCGTGAAGACGAGGTCCAGTACCACTGACACTGGACCATTGAGCAGCCCGGTGATGGTCACGAGCAGACCGGTTGCGGCTGAGTTCGTGCGGATGACGATGTTTGTCACATTCGAAGGAGTGAGCACTCGTCCCACTTGCGCTGTGACCCCCATCACCGTGCTCCGAACCAGCAAGTCTATTTGGCCGTTGACGGCCTGAAAGTTTCGGATGACGAACTGGCCAGAGTTGGCGGGGACTGTGGCCAGCCGGTTCAATGTGCCGTTTAGAATCTGGAAGATCAAAACTTCGACGGGGCTAGCATTGGTGACTGTGATAACTGGTGTGGTTGCGGCTGGTGGTGGGGGCTGCGCATCCACTGGGCTCCATGCTGCGAGGACCACAGCAAATGCTGCAACAAGAAGGAGCGCACTCTTGGTCATCATGGCTGCAGCTGCGGATGCAAGTTAGACAATTGAGACTCTGCGTGAGCTAAAGATCTGAAGGCAGCGAGTATTGATGGAACGGAATGGAGAAACCCTTGGAATTTATAGTGAAGCCGATTTGTGCTTTTTCTGAAGGGACAATTATGGAGGTCTCTCGGAGACTGGGTGTTTCTTCCACTGATCCAGTCTGAACCCTTGATCTGCTTGATCGTTAGTTCGTGCCAAAAGTATCTGCCACGTAGAGGACCATGTATCATCTATGTACTTTCTTTCAGATGAGGATTTCAGGTGAATGATGTTTTGTTTCAACTTCGGTCGTGCACTGAAAAGTTCCGTTCATTATTCCCTAAAGTGAAGGAGCCTTGATGTCCTGCCACCAAGGTCATCATATGTCTTCTATATCGCATTAAAGATCGAACTATAAATTTGTATACATGTTAATTATGGTCCTGTACATATTCAAGGTGGTTTGAAGATAGGATTACTTGATCTAAAACCTCTGTGAACGAGGATGTATTGAAATTTTCACACTCAGAGATTTTGATACATAGAACAATGTAAATGGTTAAAGTGTTAGATGATCGGCTTCCAAAGTAAGAGTCGCTGAAATGAGTTTATGACATTGCCTGCATGTAATTTATTTTTGAGTTTATCTTAATTGCTCATATGCCACTTGTCCTTCTTATTAACCTTGTAATCAACGTGTGGGACAAAAGAAGTTTTTGACTTTTCCGAGTCATGCTTCATGTGACGACATTTCAACCTCCTAAGTTGGCGTGTTGCATTTGACAAAGACTGGGGACGGTATTATATAGAGTCCAATATAAACTTGAAATTGATCACGTGAAATATTTCATCCTTAATTTATAAGATCAAATCAAATCGTGCTCCGTCAATCTATTTCTCTCCTAAACTAAAATTTTATAAAAGTCATCATAAATCAAAATTCGCCACAACACACATGGTGCTGCAAGATTCAATCTTCTTTTACACTCCAATTTTCTCAAAACGTTCACAAGTAAAGTATATTCATATGCTTGACAAAAAAAATAGTATTTTCAAACACATTCATATTTTAGTCTTTGATTCAAAATTTACAACCATAATACGTATTGTCTATGAAGATAATATTTTCGTTATATTTATAATTATATATAAAGATAGATCTCAATTCTTTATTAATCATTTCATAGTCAAAAGTTTTATCAAAATAAAAAATTACATAATTTGTAAAACTTAAATCTGTGTACAAATATTTTTAATTTTACATGTGAAAACTGCCATCAAACAATTAGTAAATCTCTATTTTGATGATGTTGGAAAAATTGTACATATATTTTGATGAATACACATGATGATAGTATAGCTTAAAAAAGTTTGATGAACAGATGAAGCAGTTTATTGAAACTACATCACTTACGAATTTTATCTTGATTAAATATTTCACAAAAACTTTCACATACAATACAGAGTTTATGTTTTACAATTTCTACTTAGCATGATATAAAAAATGTATAAGTGTGTCTATTAGCATTTTTTTGAATGCATAAGTTATTTAATAATGATTAGTTTAATTTAGATAAATACTTTATTCGAAAGGAAAGTAGAAGACAACAAGGCTTTTGAGACTATGCAAATTGTCAACAAATAGTCAAACTAAAGATGATGTATTTATTAAATTGAACGCCGGCCAGGAGAAGAAAATAAAAGGAAAAGAGGCTCTAGAGAAAAAAGAGAAATAGAAAAAGCTTGTGAGCATCAATGTTTTTTCACGTTCGTCGAGGGCAAAAAATTTAGCTATGGAAATAACCCGGTGTGCATGTGGTAACCCACTTTTTGCTTTTGTGCGGAATTTAAAACAATTTTGGAAAACAGTACCGCAACAGCCGTGTAAATGATGATCGGTACATTTAAATAGAGTGAAAATGGATAATCGCGGATCTCGCAGGATCTCATAGAATCCAGAAGTTGGGCGCAATGTCCAGAACAGGCGCCGACCTGAACGATCGATTCTGAAGGAGTTCTTCTTCGGCGCAAGGCGTATAATCCGCCTTCGGCGGTAGGCCTTCGGCGCTAGAGGGATCCCTCAGAATTTATGCAATTCACAACGCCTCGACTTGCTTAGGGTCTTGTTGAAAAGAGCTCAACGCGCTCGTTCTAACGAGCCCAAGACCGCCTGGAACGAATGAGGACTCAGGGAGTTGTGACTGTCGGAAGATGCGACGAAGAGCGCCTACGCATAGGCGGAAGGAGTTCGTCGTTGGCGGGAAGTCCGCCGGGAATTCCGCCTACGCATAGGCGGAAGTAATTTGCCTGCGCATAGGCACTTTGCCATCGGCAGAATATCCGCCTTCGGCCCTAGAAGTTCGCCTTCGGGGGTGAAGCTCGTACGGTGCCTACGGCGCCAGCGCATCAAGACTAGGTAAAAACCAACGGAGTAACGAATCCGTATGGACCACCTTCGGCTCAATGCCTACGGCGAAACGGACGGGTGCGCCCTCGGCAGGACGGAACTCCGGAGGCGAGAGCGCCTGCGGAGAGACGAGAGAGATTGACAGACGGGACGAAATCCGTTGACCGCGGTCAACGCCTTTGGCACAGTCGCCTTCGGCGCTGCGCCTACGGCGATGCACCTACGCCGACGGACAACGTGAGCCACCTACGCTGACGGACATCTTCGACGCTTGCGGTCAGCGCCTACGCACAAGCGGATCGAGTTCGGAGCCGGCGGGAAATCCGTCTTCGGCGGAAGGAGTTCAGCCTCGGCGGAGCGTGCAGAGGAATGCCTTCGGCGGTGCGGGATCGATGCGAGTCGGAGTACGAATGCTAGCATAAACTAGTGAAAGGGTTGTAAAAGCCGGAGTTGGAAGTCACTACCTGCAGATTCGCTGAATGTACTCGTGAGAGACTTTTCCCATGAAATTTTAAGTAGAGGTCCTAACCGACCTTTGAGTTGTGTTTCTATAGTTTCAGGTGTGTGTTGGGGTGAATTACGCTGCACTGTGTGTCCTTCGAGTGACCTCCGAGTTGAGCACTTGCAGTACTTCTGGGAGTGACAGTCGCTTGAGAATTCAAACTCTTCAATAGTTTGTTAAACGTGACACTTTGTACTCTGTGTGTTGCCTCTGTCCTTGTGGGTTCAACCTTTTTGCTACCATACTGCAGTTTTAGCCTTTGGTGGGTTATTACAGTGCAGATGAGAAGAAATTTTGTTGTTCGATTCTCCTGTGTTGATGATGTAGTATTCATTAAGTCCAACTTCCACTAAGATATTGATATGATATGATATGATCTCGGACTTTCCTTACGATGCATACATAAGAGGTAGGCTAGGAGATTGTGAGGTGTACTTGGTGTTTGACTTGTTCAATCTAGGTGGGAGTTAGCATACCCAGAAGACATCTTGATGAAAGCAAGTTCTTACCCCACTCGGAGTTGAGTGGAGTGAATGTAGAGGTAGCGATGACATTTCTTAAGTAGATTTGTACTTTAGACAACAAAATTAATATATTGAATGTAAGTTCTACTATAACATGTTTCAAGTGTTTTTTTTTCTCCAGGAGCATACTTGTAGTGAATCCGGCTACATGACGAGATTATTACCATTAGATGGAGCTTTATTGGTGTTGATACTTCAAAACAAGTTCTTGACAATGACGGCTCCAATTTTGGCAAAAATCAGATTAGTGTAAACCTTTTTTGCTTTATATAGATGCATCAAATATTATTGTAGTATACAACTTAAGTCAATTTGATGATGAAAAACATGATCATCTAATTACTTATGCTAGTAGACAAATAATACAAGTGGAAAAAAACTACTTAGTGACAGAAAGAGAGTACTTGGTTGTGATATTTTTGCTTAAAAAATTTTGACATTTTTTTTTATTGGAAGATTCACTAAAATGATTGATCATAAGGCTTTGAAATATATTTTCAACAAGCCTTATGCTAATGGGAGTAAAGCTAGATGGAATTATTATATCATTGAGTATCGACTTGAAAAGAAACATGCTAATGCAAATTTAGGATCAAAAACATATGATGAGCAAGGGGATCAATCCGTGAATGACACTTTTTTGGACGTAGATTTGTTGGTCATGCATACGTTGACATCAATACAAGAGAAGTATAAAAAGATTTTGGAGTTCATCTCCAAGGAGAATTTCCTCAAGGTATGTATTTGAGAGAAAGTAATGCATCAGTAAAGAGATGTTAATCATATATGATCATGCTGAAGGTGCTAATTCATCAAGGAGCTAAGTGTATTTTATGAAAATCAGTCATAAAAGGAGAAACATTGCAATTCATGAAGGAGTTTCACAAAGCTGCAATATGTGGAGTACATTTTGCGAGAAAGGTCAAGGATCAAGGATTTTGAAAGCAAAATCAAGGATCTTGAAAGCAGTTGTTTTCAAGATCCTTGATTTTGGTTATGATTGGAAGGTTATTTTTTAAGATTGTGTGGAATTTTGCAAGAGTTGTGATATATGTCAAACTTTTGCTAAAAAATCCACGAAAATACCTACTTTGATTTCAGCTCCAATGTTAAATTCTTTTGAAAAATAGAGGATAGATTTTGTAGGTTCTTTGAATATTACTCAAATAATTTCATTATGAAAGCTACATATCATCATACTAAGTAAGTAGAGTCAAGACCACTTTAATCTACTAATGGAAAAGGAAGATGACAAGTTTTTTTATCAGAGAATTATTATCAGATTTGATTTTCCTTTGAAGTTGATGTCAGATTGTAATAACCCACCAAAGGCTAAAACTGCAGTACAGCAGCAAAAAGGTCGAACCCACAGGGACAAAGGCAACACACAGAGTACAAAGTGTCATGTTTTAACAGACTATTGAAGAGTTTGAATTCTCAGGCGACTGTCACTCCCAGAAATACTGCAAGCGCTCAACTCGGAGATCACTCGGAGGACGCACAATGCAACGTAGTTCACCCCAACACACACCTGAAATTGGAAAAGCACAACTAAGAGTTCGATTAGGACCTCCACTCAAGGTTCATGGGGAAAGTTTCTCACAAGTACATTCATAGGATCTGCAG